CTCTAAAAAAGAAAAGATCCAAGGCCTGGTGTGGTGGTGCACACCCGGGAGGCTAAGGCAGGAGGATCATTTCAACTTCAAGGCCAACCTGGGCTAGTTGAGACGCTGTGTCAAAAAAAGAAACAAGAAAATGAAAATATCTAGAAAAGTTAGATAGAACTTAACCTAGACAAAAGGATTTTAATCACATTAAAAACTTTAACCTTAGACTTGTATTAGTGTGTGAGCGACTTCAGGTCATGTGTATGCACACCTCTCTTTGCCCTTCTCTTATCCCAGGGGCAAGCTGGGAGTCCCGTTTGCTGTTCTGCTTTTCATTTGTAGGGGTGGTAGTTTCTGCTCCTGTCAGTTTCAAAGGATGAAACATTTAAGGGCATATTAAAAGTAAGAGAGCCTGTAAGGCTTGTAAAATACTGTCAAGTGTCTCCTTTGTAATATTCAGATGTTATAATGATAAAAAGATTTTGTCTTTCCCAGATGCATTATATATTTTGTTCAAAGTTAAATCTATAAATGGCATATACCTTATTTCATGATTTTGCTATTTAAAAATTTATGTTTTAACTGCAGCTCATTTAGGTACTGTTTTGGGTGGATTTATTCGTTTGTATTATCACTGTGTTAATTTGTAACTACAAATGCACTTTGCAGTGTATATTGTTACTGATAGTACAATACTTTGTGTATAATATTGCCTCTGAGCAAGAGTTAGTATAATGAATAAGCAAGCTATATATTGTTCTGAACATGCAAAACCAGGCTGTTATTGTCTTAAAACACAGCTGGGTGGACTGACCATGGTATTTCTTCAGGGAAGATTCTTTATCTACTTGGACTGAGCCCTTTGCAAATGTAAGCTGTATTCCTTTGATTTTTAGGAAATACATAAAAGTCTACAAACAGGATTCTAGAATCTTGAATTAGCATTTTTGCGAGTTTGCTCTGTAAGTGGAAGGGTTGGATGAGATGGTTATTATGGAAGTTCTTCTCAAGGCTGACAGCAGAGGCAAGTTTTGTATGTAGCCACCCTCTTTTCATCCTGCCTCATGTTTGCATATGCACCAAGAATCCTGTTGCTCAGCCCATAGTAAGCCAACTTGTTGCACACTCGTGTTAGAATACATGTGATACCCCTGGAGATAAACTAGTAGTTATGGGGTTTTCCCAAAGGCCTGAGTGAGAACCAGCTTTGATTCCTTGACATTTCTAGGAGGAAAACCTGAATAATATCGAGGTTTCTAGGAAAAAGTCAAACAGATAATAGTGAGAAAGTAAAAGAAAAAAATACACAGAAAAGCAATAGTTGAGAGTCTCCAGTAGAAATGTGTGTGTATATATTTACTATCAATCTCAAATTCTCCCCTCCAGTATTTCTGATAGGAGTATGATACAAATACAATACTGCTAAAACACATGTAAGATGGAAATTTTGTGAGTGTTGGCAGCTGTAACTGAAGTTACCAAAAAGTATCACAGCTTGGTGCTAGTTGTTTTCCCTCCCACAGTGGACCCACTTTTCCATATTTAGAAACAAAAACACAACAACGTACGTTGCACATTACTTGACATTCTTTACACTATGCTGTTCGACCTATCCAGACTTCCTCTTAGGGGCAGCTTCAATTATGACTAATGTACTATATTGAGTTGAGTTTATTATTTTTTTTAATTAGCCTGTGAAGAATAATGATGGCTCCCCCTACATTAAAAACAAACAAAAAAACGTTTAACGTTGGGCCAGGGATATAACTCAGCAGTGCGGTGCCTGCCTAGCAAGCTCATCCTGAGTTTGATTCCAAGTTCAAATAACAACAACAGATTGAACTCATGTCCTTGTGCTTGCCAGGGAAGCACTTAATTCTACTGAGCCATCTCCTCAGCCCCCTTTAATTTCTTAAAACACTAATCATCAAGATACTTTCTATATTTGGTGCTTTTTAAAAAATCCTAAACCAATCAAATAAATACTAAGTGTCTTGGTTCCTATTCTCCATTAACTCAAAAAAGCAACTGTCACGGGAGAAAAAGCTATCTAAAAATTTCATAGGGATTTAAATTTTCTCATTAACAAATAATATGCACACTTATATACAGAAGCTCACTGATCATATAGGGTATTATAATACTGAATACTACACTTAAAAACATTAATATAGTTCATTTTAAAAATCTGTTTTGGGAACGGATTTCTGTATGAAAATATAAATAATGAGGTATTTATTATCTGGATGCTTTCTAAAATTCAGAACATTACTATGGTCACATTCTACCTATAAAAATAAGCATGAATATGAATATTTTCAAGTAAGTATGGTGGGAACTGAGAAGCAAATGCGGATAGCCTAGCCTGCTCCTCAGCAGTCAGGCATTTTATTTACCTCTCCCATAGGAACTTAGGCCCCGTCCCCAGCCTCCAGAGCCAAACACCAGGTCACTGATGTTACAGTTAGAAAAGAAAAGCACCATGAGGTCACAGATGTGCAAATGCTTCTTACTTGCGTGTACCCGCTGCATTAGCATGGATAATTGAGCACTGACAGTAATTTAAGTTCAGTCACCTAACCAGGCATTAATGAAGTTCCCAGTCACCAAGTCAGGTTATAGGCAAACTATAAGAAGAGTTACCGTATGTGCTAAGTGTCCTTCCTAGTTCATCTTCCAACAGAAAAAGAACGTTTACGTTATTTAGCTTTGAGAAGGTAATTTGATCATTTTTCTTGTAAGAATCAAAACTGTAAGACTTTCATTGCTTTTAGAAAAGTTTTTGAAAAAAAATCCCACATAAAACAAAACAATGCCAGGTGCAGCGGCATACACTGTAATGCCAGCACTCAGGAGGCTGAGGCACGTGGATTACTGAGCTCGAGGCCACCCTGAGCTACATGTAAGTTCAAAGCCAGCCTGAACTACACAGCAAAACCTTGTCTCAATAAACCAAAACCCAAAACCAGACAAACAAACCAAAATACAAAACTAAACCCCAAAAGCTAAACCAGAAGTTTGAATGTACAGAATTATCCTTGTTTTGTAAGTATTACGATCAATAGCATTAAAACAACACTGCAGTACTGCTGCTCACTAAATGTCTTAGGTAAAATTTCACACTAAATAAGGCAAATGTTAAGAGTTCGTACTTTAGTACTATCAGTAACTTCAAGGATCTAAAACAAATCACCCAGGAAAGTAAAAAATAGTACTCTCAGCAAACAGAAAACAAACAAAACTTAGAAAACTCAGAACTAAAAAAATATTTTTACTAAAAAGGCTCTTGCTCCCTTTGTTCCTTCAGAACATTAACTGTCTGCTAAACTGAATGTGAATTATCAGTACCAGTACAATGACATTATCCATGTTCCCTTTTGTCACCATCCTGTGTGAGTGACAGGGCTGTTCATAAAGGAAAAAATGGAATATCAGATCTCTTGAATACCTTAAGGGCTTTCCCTTTTCTCTCAAACACACACAAGCACAGGTAAACCCCTATTTTTGATTAGCACATATTTGGTACAGTTAGAAAGGTCTAAATAATGTCAGACCAGTGTTTTTTTTTTTTAGACAGGGTCTCCTCACATAGCCCAGACTGGCCTTGAACTGGCACCTATCTTTCTGTCTCAGCCTCCCAAGTGCTGGGAATACAGGCATGTGCCACTATGCCTGACCAGATCAGCTCTTCTAAAGTTAAGTCCAGTGTTCTTCCACAGATTCAACAGAATGTCATTTCAATCTTTTGAAATGAAGTAGTTACCCTGCCACCTACTTCCAAACAGATGAGGAGCTCAAAGCCTATAAGAAAAAATTATAGGGCTGGAGAGATGGCTCAGTGGTCTAAAGCACCTACTTGGAACAAGCTTGTCTAAAGCACAGGGACCGCGGTTCAATCCCCCAGCACCACATGCCAGCCAGCGCGCCCCCTGGTGGGCTGAGCTGGCCACACACACACACACACACACACACACAAACACACTAAATAAATGTTAAAAAAAAAATTTAAAAAAAAGAAAAAATTATAATGTCCAAGCTTAGCAAGTCCAACAAGAGCAAAGAGAGCATAGATGGCACTTCTGTTCTCTTACTAACTGAAAACAATAACAACAACAACAACAAAAACAAATTTTTAACAATCTGAAGGATCTCTCCCCCCCCCCCTTTTTTTTTTTGGTACCAGGGAATGATCTCAGGATCTTTTGCTTGCCAGGCAAGCACTTATGTTGTTGAGCTATCTCCCCAGTCCTGAAGAACTTCTCTTTGACCCTAAATTTATTTTCTGTAATTGATAATCATATAAGATACTCTATATAGAATATAACCTTTTCTTTTTTGAGGGGGGGAATCAGGAATCAAACTCTGGACCTTGCTATACTACATCCTTTAAATGCAGATGTATGTGTAATTTGTATTGATTCCCTCAAGCTCACAGAGACTACACACCTGCCATGTGTGCATGTATAATTAGTTTCATCTCCACCATCATTTAAAGCTACCAACATTCCTAATACAATAAAAGCAATATATTAATCACACTACTGCCTTTTGGGACAAATGTCTTGGATCTCATGCTTCAGAGGCTTGGTGGTGAGGATATCCTGGCCTAAGAACAGAGGCTGCACCCAACCAATGTTATTAATTAGAAGCAGCCTTTGGGGGTCCTTGTTTTGTAAAGGAGACTGTAGGTAGTATCCAGAGTCAGCTCCGTTACTTTCTAAAATAGCTTTTCAGGGAAGTAAGTTGAAGTCAACAAAATCTCAAGCACCTCATAAAAGGAATCTTTACAAATCACGAGGCTATTATGGAACGTGGATGTGTTCTGTTTATCTCTCCAGGTCATGCAGTGTAATAAGGATGCTATCAAATGGGATGGAATCTCAATCCAAACTCATCAGCCAAATATAACATCAGGAAACTAGGATGGTATGTGTAGGTTTAGTGGTAATTATTTCCACAGAAAACATGAAATTATGTCTTTATACAGTCATGGCCAGGCTGCATGTTAGTGAGCTCACCTGTGTATCTTATCTTGGCCGGAAGGCACTGCACCCATGTTGGCTACATTCACAACCTTCCGGAGGATAACCGAGGACGTGAAGTTCTGTGGTGTGGTGATGATTGTGGCAGAGGTTTCATTCATTCCTGTCAGCATACCTGGAAGAGCAAAGAAAAGCTCCCATTCAGTAATTTCTTGTGGAAAATAATTGAAGCTATTTTAAGCTCACAGCCAAAACTTAAACACTTTTCTTAACAAGAGATGTGTAATGTTATAATGAAAGTTTCCAAGTAATTATTAAATTAAAATAGTGTCACTGTTTCAGATTTTTTAATGCGTAGAAAAATGTGTAAAACTGCAGTCAGAATCATTCTTCACAAATCTAACAGTAAGTACTACAGGGTAAAATTCACAATTATGACATTTCAATTTCATACACAATTCGAGGTATGTAAATAAGTTTTTATTTCTTTTTCTTTCTCTCTCTCTCTCTTTTTTTTTTTTTTTGGCGGAACTGGGGATTGAACTCAGATCCTTGCATTTGCCAGTCAAGCGCTTATCCTACTGAGCCATCTCCCCAGACCCAGTTTTTATTTCTTAAGAATATAAATATTTAATTCTTAGTACTGTTCACTCAAAGATCTGCCAAAATAAGTTAACATATTCTGAAATAATTAATCAGCAGCATCAGAAGCTTGACAGACAGCTTCTTTTCAGAAGGTTAAAGTGGACTTCACAATCATTGGAGGTCTCTAACCAGTCCTGGGCCTCTAGAAAATGCAGTACTTTTCCAAGGTAAACTTAACAATGACATCATTTGTCTAGCAAATAGAAATACGGTCCCAATAGAACACAAACCAAATCTCCAAAGCAAAAAGTTTGAAAACAGGAAAATTTTTTTCCTAAGTCCTAGGGACATTTCAAATAGTTTAAAAAGAAGGCAAGTTATGCAAATTTATGAATAAAGACCATAGCACTAACCCTAAACATACCATTAATATCCGAATCTCATGTGGAAATGTTCAGTAAACTAATTCAACAACAGACTAAGCCCTTGGAAACATACTGTAATTTTGTAGTGGGTTAAAATAAAATACAACAAATATCATCTACTTGATGGACATCTAAAGGTATCTATCAAAAATAACCTCTGAAGACATTTACCATGTATACAGTGGTGTACAAAATTTATGAAAAATGGCAAACCTTAACATCACGTTTATAAAAGACCCCTGCAGCTTCAAGTCTACACATTTATTTACTGTAAATATCTGAAATTTTCAGAAGCCCCTGATGAACAGTATGAAGACACCAAAACCTACTACTGTAAAAGGATTTACACCATTAGATAGAAAAACAGAACTATCTACCTTCTAACAAGAAGCACATTTTACTAACCACTTTCAAACTCCAGGAACACTATGTTCTGTCTTAGGCCGTTTAACTTCAATATTAGGCAAAAGCTTTAAAAACTACATGAGCAGTCAAACACTGCTTTTAAGTAAAGCACAGGGCTGACATAACACTGCTGAGAGATGTGTGTACTCATTTAGGATTTAAACCTTCTCCATTAAGCTCTATTGAAGAGCAACTGCTGAATAAATGAATGCAACTATGTTTATGTTAAAAGCCTGTTTCCCGCAGCATGTAATTAAAGGAAATGTTGTACAAAGCCAGTACTTTTGTCAAGCTCCTGTAAATGGAAAGATGGATAGCACTCAGAGAAGTGAATGCATTGCTTCATATTTAACCTTAACACTCTTGTCATTAATGGTTTGTCTAACTTGTTCTATAAAAGACAAGGTACTGCTCCACTGAAGTAAAATTAAAAAAATCAACTAAACCATGCTTTTCAGAACAGAAGATTCATTATCGTCAGCTAATGTATTGGCATAAAGCAAAGTAACATCCTATCAAGTAAGGCACACATTCAATCTGCCTCTCCACCCTCCTTTATTTTTAACTCATGCTGTTTTATTGTTATAGGCAATTTGTACCACTCAGCATGACAGTGTAAACTGAATCAAGATTAATTTACATGCAAAAGAACACTTAGGAGAGCAGCACGGTAAGCAAATGTATTGTCTCGATTGCTGAGGTGGAAAAAGAACCTGGAAAGAAAAAAAAGGTGCTCTAATTAAGGGGCATCAAATATGATCGCTGTGGTAGTTAAGGGCCAGAAAATAGTAAATGTCTGACCATTTAAAGAATTAGCATCTTGCTAGCTCCGAACGCATAAGATGGATGCATAAATCACAATAAAATTAAGTAAACATTTTAGGTTTCTTAAAGCACAGGATTCGCTAAATGAAAATATATCACGTATTTTCAAATTAACAAGGAAAAAATATGCCGAGCCATCATTAGAAGTTTATCCTACGAAAACAGACTTTCGCTGTATATAGACTGTTCCATAATAAGGGCAAAGGTACTGGGAAAATATTTTTAAATAGGCAGAATGTGTGGCTTCAGGAGAACACATGTGAATTTTGGTGGTGGTGTGGGACAGCACTTGATTTAGTTCAATCAGTAGTAATTAACCACTAAAGGCAAACCAACTAATACAAGGAAATTAAATTTGAAAAGACTTTTCTAAACTTTAGATTTCCAATTTAAGAGGCGGCTTAGAATAAACAATTGGCTTATGTCCCTTAAAATTAAACCTGTCCAAAGGTTAAAATTAAAAATTTTAAGGTTACAAAACACAAACCCCATGTTATTTATAGTGTTGAAAGACTTCCACAGATACCTCATTAACTAACTTTACAATGTAACTCACAGCAATGAGTAACTCAAGCTTCACTGGAAGGCTCATAGTATGAATACTATAAATACTTGCAATATACAAGGTAGCCCTATCTTTCACTTAGCTCTCTGACTACCACTCTTTCATCAACAAGCATATTTAGCTATGGGACCCTAATCATAACTACCAAGAAAAAGTGCTGAATTGGGCTGTAAATTAGAAATAAAAGCTTTTGTTTCTAAAAAATATTAATGCAATGTGATATTCTGTTAAAATCACTTTTAACATCTTAACACTTTTCAGTTATGCACACCTTTAGAATAAAAATAGAACCATAATCTTCATGTTTCTTGTTTATAACTTTTTTAGTTAAATCCTAATACATTTAATGCACTTTTTGAGTCTTAAGATACAGATACTGTAAAATAAGATATAATTTCATTTTACTGAGTGATTTGTTGGCTGAAGTTAGCAAGCAATAACACACATTTCTTAAAAATTTACTCACATTTTGCCTTCCAGAACTTCACATTGATAAGATGTGAGGAAATGAATTTTTATTTTGATTCAGAGTTTTCTGTTAGTCATTTCTAGGTAACTTTTGTGAAATCAGATACACTCTTCCCAGAGTAGCACAACAAACAAATACATGTGTGAAGTTGGGAATTGAGACCTCTATTACCAAACCTGCTGAAATCTATAACTAAAAAGATGCTATTGAAAAGACTCTTTAAACCTGTGGTAAATTTGCCAGCATCAAATTCTACATCAAAGAATGAATTCAGGAAGACAGAAAGAATGATAAAGAAATGCCAAGAGACTTGCAAGGATTTACAAATACTTCATATAAACAAATTTTCAAATAGCTTTATTCAGAGTAGCCTTTCTGCTCTATTAAACATAGCAAACAGCTGCCAGGTTTATTCAGACAAATAATCAACAACCATAGAAGCAAAATGGCAGAAGAAAAAGGAATTTTGGCAACAAGTCCACAGAGGACTGGAGCTATTCTCCAAGAGCACCTCTCTCATGCACTTACGGTTCTGTATGGCTGGGCAGTGAAAAATCCCTCAGTCACAGCAGAGCACAAAAAATTTGATCAAAATATCAAGTACTCTAAACAAAGCTGAGGGAGAGAAAGGGCAGACAATAACACGCTGCTTTAGAAATACTTCAGCTGCACTTCGTGAGAACGATTCTCCCTGGAAGTCAATGTGCCACAGCCTCATCCGGTGCTGCTGAGTGCCACTCACCTTGGTCTGCTGAGCAGGTGGAAAGCAGAGGCAGGCTTTAGCCAGCAAAGGGTAAGAATAGCAAAGATAAGAATCAGTTCGTCATCGGGAAAACAAAATCACAATATAACTTGCTTCTATAGCAGTTATCAACTTTCAAGAAAACAAATGTAAAGTTGAGTTTACTCATTCCTTCTTTATCACTTCAAAGCAAGCCAGAAGAAAAGATTATTATAAATGTACAGTCTTAGTCTGGGGTTTTCTTCAAGGGATTCTTCTTGTTGTAAGGTCCTTCTTCTGTTGTAAGGTCCTTCTGACAGTGTGGCACACCCAGGCACAGAGGAAACCAAACCTTCAGCACTACAGGGAGCATGCCCCTCTCCTCAGGAACAGGGTCTGTGTGTGTCTAGTGGGCTCTGGGAGCTTGAACGATCGGACCTCCAAATGCAAAGATCTTTGTTTGCTAATGGCCTCCATACTTGCATGCACGTAAAGATTTTAAAATTGCTGATATAGGACTTAATATTCCTTCATTCTATAAATATTATCCTTAATTAAACAAATAAAATCAGTGTTACCTTCCCATACTCATATACCAAAAAAAAACCCTTCACTTCTATTAGATGGCATGCTTGACTGGTCCAACAGAATGCAAGGATATCAATACTTAACATTCTGTTGAAAATATTTTCTTTTTAATACATATTTTTAAATGTTTCAGCTCTATTCAACTAGCATTTCTTTTTTTTTTTCAAATAGCATTTCTATAACAGAATTAAGTAAAAATATTTTAATACAATTAGGACTTCATAGTCTAAAGGATAAGGCATTGTACTCTGTGGAAAGAAAAACACATTAGTAGGACATGAAAAACAGTTCCCTAACAACAAAAAATACTGAAACGTAAGACGTGTGGTGGGAGAACATTAGAGTCCCCAGTTCCTGGCGTTTTCATGAATATAAACACACTAATAGATAGGTGTGTGATCAGGGTGACAGATTACAACTCATAATAAAAAACCTGATTAAGACCGAACTTATGTGAAAGACATATTACTCAATTTTCAAGTATGTAATGAACATAAATAAACATACTTTTAAGGTTATTTTACAAGTTCAAAGTGTTAACAAAAATGGGAAGATTATATACTGATATCTGTTACTGGCTATGTGTTATGAAATTACTTTACAGACTGGCCAGTATGAGTAGATAAGATTCTCTGGTACACGTTTCAAGTAATTGTGGTAATTTCTCACCTTGTTCTTTCTTAAAGTCTTTCTCGGACATGGCCACAGGTAACAGCAGTTCTCCAATAGGTGGCTGAATATTAACGCTGAAGCAATCATCCTTGGTGCTAAGGAAAAACAATCAGATGACTAAATGCCTGATAAAATACTTCTTAATACTATGCGGTTACACAGATGCAATTAAAGCATATACCAGCTCTTAAAGTGTCTAAAATCTGATTGCAGAGAAATATATCTATCTCAGAATTAAAAGATTTTAACAGAACTGCACACTTGAGTAAATTATATGGTTTGATAGACAGCTTTTCTTTTTTTTTTTTGGTGCTGGCCTCAGCAGTGCCAAGCACATGCTTTCTTACTGAGCAACACCCATTGCCTGATTAGCAGAACAGTTCATACAATTTACAGAGAATGTTTTAGCTTTGCTATGTATATAACTAAGTGAAGAAGATGAGTGCTTCAGTCTTAAATGGTTAAGATCTTTTTCTTTTAAATTAGCTTTTTCATAAGGAAAAAATGGAGTATACTGTACTTAGATTAGTGTGCTCATCAGCAAACCAGTTTTATTTTTTATGGTTTTATTTTTAAAATAAAATAATTTTATTTTTTATTTTTAAAAAATCCTTATTTTAGAGTATAGTTTTTCAGATATCACTCAAACATATATATAAATTTATTATTTCAGATGATAGGATATGAAAGCTTTAAAAAAGTCAACTTTTTAGTTATAGTGTCAGAAAGCCAACACTGCATTTCTTTCACTTAACTCTTATGGCTATCTATAAAACTAATTACAAGGGTTTTAAAGTTAGATATCTGAAATGAGGCTGATCAAATACCAGGGAGGAAGGAGTATACAAAGAAGCAGAAAATCCAACTGATAGTTTGTTGAGAGACAGGAGTTTATTGTTTAGAGTACAAGAAGTCCTGGAGTTACAGTGAAATCCCAGTAAGAGGCCCCCAGGACCAGATTCTCCTAGCTTTCGATCCACACCCTGCAGATGAAGGGTGCACTGGCTCTCCTCCTGGCTGTCAGCTCCAGTTACTACTTTTACATTCCACAGAAGAGGAAAGTGTGATGACAAAAGGGTGGTAACAAATGAACCAACCACATCTGTTCCTCTTGAAAGGAAAGCAGAAGCTCTCTTCAAAGTCCCAAAGAAGTGGATCCCACTGCTGATGGGAGGGGGACCAGAGAGGAGGGGATTACAAATAAAACACTACGCGTTAGGTAAGAAACAGAGTTTAAAGGGGAAGCAAGAACAATATCAAAGAAAGAAAGAACATAAAACTCACTTTCATTTTATAGTATTATGTATTGTATTTTTTTAAGTAAGTTGCCTTTAGTTTTTTACATTTGGAATGCCCAAGATAAATCAGTAAATCCCATTTTTTTATTAACTCAGCAAGCACTTACTGATTGCAAATTTGATTCTATGTACTGTGTTAATATCTGAGACTGAAAAACAAGTGAGATTGGTATTTGAAACTCTAGTGAGAGGGTTACAAATTTTATTTATAATGGAGTGGTTAGTGCTACCTTAGCTTTGTGGAAAGCACAGTACTGTCCATGGAGGAGGAACAGACTTGCTCAGCAGAAGACGGACTCCCTTGCTTCCAGGAGAAACAGGGCCACCTCAGGCTTGTGAGAGGTGGGTGTGCCTGCCGGTGCGTGCTGAGCTGGGAGCACGGTAAAGGACATTGCATGGGGGTGGCATTCACCCCAGCTCTCCCAACAAAGCTGCATGTGAGCTGCCCTAAATCCGTTCAGGTCTCTTTCCACTTCCGAGTGAGCTGATTTGTATGGTAAGGGATATGGCTACTTTACTCATGTAACTATATGACCAAGGCAAGAAGCTCTAGGCAATGGGGACTAAGGGGGCCTGTGTGTGTGTAAGAGGCTGTGTATGGAGGGGAAAGCGAAGGCAACCAGGTGTGGTGATGTATATACCTGTCATCCCAGTGCTCCAGGGGCTGTGGGAGAAGGATCGCCACAAGTATGAGGCCAGCCTGGGCTACGTAGTGAGACCCTGTCTTAAAAAAAAAAAAAAAAAAAAAAAGGAAAAGGAAAGCAAAGGGAAACCCACCAGTGAGTCTGACTCAGTAATTGAGGCAAAGGGTTTCAGCATCTTCCATGTACTTTATTTTATTAAATCCTAATAATGACCCTAACAGGCAGCTTCAGTTATCCCAGATTTACTGATAAGAAAACTGAAGAGAAGATAAACATCATGCCCAAGGGCACATAGCTGGTAAGCGGCAGTCCAGATATCTGAGTGCAGGCATCCTACGGCTGCCCAGGTCCATGCCACTGCACTGCGCTGTTCTGGGGGATGGCAGGCCTGAGTACTGGAAGATAGGGCATTTCATGGAAAGTCTAGAATCAGAGCGATGCCTAGTGACAGACTGCAGAGACTGCAGCTTCCACTGTAAACAACTTGGCGGATGAAAATGAGGAGTTCAGTGGTTTTAAACACGTCATGTTCTAAATACCACTAAATTACCTAGGAAGAAACGCCTGGTAAATAAATACAAACTGAGAGGCGGGAGCATGGTCAGGGCAGAACACACGAGTGTGGGAGTCACAGGGGCAGTAGAGGGAAGAACTGAGGCCTTACACAGGCAGGAGACCATGGGAGAGGACACACTGTGGGAAAGCCTGGAGCAGAGGGTGTGGCATGCACTTCGGAGGCCAGGGGCAGGGCCAGTCCCACAGGGGAGGACTGAGGTGCAACCAGATGGAGGGCAAACACGAAGAGTAGTGCAAGAGAGGACAGCAGGAGTTTCTGGAGAAGTGGGGAGGGGAGGAGAGGGGAGAGGGACGAGGATCCACATATTAAACTAATTTAGTCTGATGTGTAAATTTTGAGTTTCAAACTGCTAGCTATGCCAATGTTCTCCCAAGTGGGAGGCAGAAGGCAACTAACTGAGATGCAGAGAAAAAACTCCACTCATTATTTTCCTAACTCCTTGAGTTGTTTTTCACGAGGTTAGTATACACATAATGAGTTAGCATGGTGAGATACATATTTACATACACATAATTTAAAAATAAACATACATATAGGGTGTAGTTAAAACGTAGAAGTAACAGATCTGCGACTCAACATTTGGGAGTGCGGGACTACATGAGATGAGCTGCTTATCATTACTGGTTTGCTTTTTCCTTTCAATAAAAAAGGCTTTTTCCCAACACTCAGAGGGACCACACGCAGCACTGACAGCAAGGAGCAGACAGGCCAGGTGGAGCAGAGGACAGGGCCTCCTTCTCAGGCCACAGCGAAGTCCAGACGGGTGAGCAGCAGCTTCAGTCTGGTGTCGAAAGTCATCTCGAAACGCTCTCTGGAGCAACACCATGTGTTAGGGAGTAATAAATGACCATTTTTCATTCCTCCTGACAGAATCCTGACATTCAAGGACACTAAATGTCCTAGTGAAACAGTTCTCAGCATTTCTTTTGCTAAGAGTGACCAAGTGAGCCAGTCGCATCCTAGGAAGCATGAACAGAGGTCTACCAGGAAGCTCTGGGGGAAGGAAGTTTCGCTTTCCTGATACAGACACAGCTCCTTTCTCCATGTTGGTCTTGCCTTTTTGGGGGGCTGGAAGGCTGAAACCCAGGTAGGAACCCAGAAGTGAAGCAGTCATCCTGTGACCTTGAGGAAGACTAGCACATGCAACAAAAAAAAAAAAAAAGAAAAAAAAAAAAGTGGAAGACCTACTCTGTAGAGCTGCTCTGCCAACTCTGCATCACCAATACTGTGTATTCTTTTGTTCTAGGAGAAAAATAAACCCCTATTTGGTTAAGTCTCTAAAACTTGGTTTCTGAATGTGACATAAGAAATATATACTATACTATCAGCCTCACTCTTTTTTTTTTTTTTTTAATGTATTTGGTACAAGGTCTTACTACGCAGCCTGGACTCACAGTGATCCTCCTGTTTCAGCCTCCCCAGCACTGGAATTACAGGCATGCACCACCACGCCTTGGTCTCAGTGGTGGGCCAGCATGGCCTGTGGTGCCAGGGATCCCAGTCCCAGTGCTTGCTTAAGCAGGTGCTCAGTCCACTGAGCTATCTCACTGGCCCAGCCTCACTTCCTAAGGTCTGGTTCCTGATGGACTGAGATGGAATGTTTGATCATTCATTCATTCATTCATTCATGTATGGGTGCTGGGAATCAAACTCAGGACTCTGTGCTTGTCAGGCAGGCACTGCACCACTGAGCTATATTCCCGGTCATTATTATTATTATTATTATTATTATTTTTTTTTTATTATTATTAATTTTTGAAACCGGATCTTACTATGTAGTTCGACCTGGCCTCAAACTTGTGGTGATCTTTTTGCCTCAGTTGCCGAACTGCTGGGAAAACAGGCTCTTTATTTTGGGGAAACTTTATTTTCACTTACGTGAATATTCTACGACACCCTCTGATTTTCTATGGACCTCTTTTGCTAGCATTTTGCCTTTTTAAAAAATCTTTTTTGAAATTTATTTGGGGGGCCAGAGAGATGGCTCAGTGGAATAAGCACTTCCCTGGCAAGTACAAGCCTGAGTTCAATCCCTGGTTCTTAAAAAAAAAAAAAAAGAAACTTATTTGGTATAGGGTCTCGCTACAGAGCTCAGACTCATAGTGATCCTCCTGTCTCAGCCTCCCTAGCACTTGGGATTACAGAAGTGCATCACCAGCTTGGTTTCGGTGGCCAGCAAAGAATGCCCAGGGTTCTGGGGCCAGCATGGCATGCAGTACCCGGTATTGTACCTGGGTCCTTGTGCTTGCCAGGCAGGCGTTTAGACTGCTGAGCTATCTCCCCAGTCCCCATTTTGCCTTTTTTGTTTTCCTAAAGCTTTTTCTTTTCTTTTTTTTCTTCACACTTCCTTTGGTTAAACACAGGAGAAAAAGATACCTCTATTTCCACACACATGCATCTCATTATTGGTACAGGATGATGAAAAGGACTAATTATAAGTGTAAATTTATTAGAATTAAGTTACCAGATCAGTAAAGTACCATTCTTAGGGCAGATGCACAGATCAGACAGCAAAGAAGCTGATACAAGACAAGACCCCACTCACTTTACATTTAACTGTAACACACATACTTGGGCATAGAATCTTATCTCAGACTGTTAGGCTTCAAATTCATAAATTTCTAGATGAGAGACATGGACAAAACAGCTAATTTCTGAGATTCAAGTTTCCTCACCTATGTATTCAAACAATGACACTTACTTGCAGGCTGGTTTTAACTAGTAAATGAAATAAAATGCTCAGGAGAGTGCACAGAGGTACTAAAAAAATCAACCTTCTACATGTGCATGTATTGGGGCACTGTTATTTAAGCATTCTCCCATGGACTGTCTTTTTTTTTTTTTTTTTAGAACCGGGGATTGAACTCAGGTCCTTATGCTTGCTAGGGAAGCACTTCTTCTACTGAGCCATTTTTCCGGCCCCTGGACTGTCATTTTTATTTAATCCTATGCAAGCAATAATTAATGTCCTTCAATAGATCTTCTTCTGTATAAGTACAAATATTTCTCTTAAATTGCTAAACTGGAAGATTATTTGGCATTTGCTCTGGGGGTGGAGCCAATGTGAAGTTCCACGAACAGCACAAAAGAACTACATGCTTTTCCTTACTTCTCTACATAGTCAATAGTTTGGAATTTTTCTTATCTGATAGCTGAAATGTCTTAGCACTTTATTTTCCTAAACACTAGCAATGCTAAACATCTTTTTTAAAAAATTGGCTATTTGTATTTTTTTTCTTGTAAACTCTATTCTTACCCTTTCTTTCCAATTTTCTTTTGGATTCCTCATATATTGTGGTTATTAAACTTTGGTCTGTTAGAAATTCTGCAGTGTGTCACTATCGTGTACTTGTGGTATCTACTTTTCTTTTTGGTAAACAAGTTATAAATGAATATTTTTTTTCTTTTTTCTTTTCTTTAATTTTTTGGTGCTGGGGCTAGAGCGCAGAGCCCTTTGCAAGCTGGTGCTTCTGTTGTAGTATACCCCTTGCCCTTATATTTTTAAATAGAACTTGTCAGTCATTTTCTTTGTATCGTTTTGGATATACTCCTGTTTACGATTTCTGTGAAAGAAAGAAAGAAAGAAAGAAAGAAAGAAAGAAAGAAAGAAAGAAAGAAAGAAGAGAAGAAGTATCTATATTATATGTAAACATTTTTAAAGGTTTTGATCTTATTTTTATGCTTGGAATCTTGAGCTTGCAAGGCCAGCTCTCTTGACCACTAAGCTATACCTCCTACCATGACTGTAATTTTTTAATGGTTAAATTATCGATCAACCTGAAAGTTATTTTGGGATAATTTCTGGGAGGAAGCTACTTTTATCTTTCTCAGATAATAGTCTTCACTCCATCTTAAGTCCATTCTATCCCCAATGACTTGAAATACCACCTTTGTGACACACAAAATTCCTAAATTCCCTATTTTATGCCACAGGTTCCTGAGCCAATCAACATCAATTTTGCTGACTAAAAAAAAAAAAAAATAATAATGTTTCTATTGAACACACGACATGGCACGCATGTATCTTTATTCATACTACACTGCCAACTCGGACACTTAAGAGAGTATCGCTGAGCTTTCCTTGATGACAGAAGGAAAGAAACAGGTTGTGCATAGTACCAGATGCAGTGGTGGTAGACGTCCACCCACACCTGAGCACAGAGCACTGGAAGGAAAGAGTCTTTGGTTTGTGACTGCTTCAAACATAAGTGAAAGAAGCAAAACGGCTCAAGGTTTTGAAGGCAAGTGGGTAGCAGCAAGAGAAGCCAGAACAGGACCCCAAACAAAACAATGGGAAATAAGAGTGAGGTAAAAAGAAACTGTGGGAAATGGAAAACAGAAAAGCAAGGCAGAAGGGCTGAAAGCTACTTATGACCTATACATGTACTCAGTGGAATGGAAGGGAGGAGAGAAGCAAGGTAACCAGCAGGCAGGCAACACAGAAACACCGTGGGAGAAAGCACGGGCAGGCCGGGAGAAGTGAGGAACACGTCAGTACACGCCAAGAGAGCATGTTTTCTCAGTCTGCAGGTTGGCCAGCAAGCAGGCAGAGGGACAGAAACCCTTTCTTTCTAGCATGAGTTGTTTGCAAGGGTGGGGTGGGAGTGGGGGTGGGGGTGTTGCATCATTCCTAGAGGTGCTGCAATACCAGGTGGACGCATGGAAGGGATGGAGCAAGCTCCTATTCTATCTCCCAGCTCCAAAAATCCTTTAAATATACTGCCCTCGGATAGAGGATGTATCAGCTATTAAAATGAGAACAGAAATTACACTAGATCTTGGCCAAAAGGCCCAGAAGGGATTTTTTTTTTTTTTTTTTTCGAGTGCTGAGGATAGAACATAGTTTCAAGACATGTTAGCTCTACCCCCAGAAGAGAAAGATGTTTTTCATTCGGGAAAAAAAAAAAAAAAAATGTTGGCTTTGAGACCTGGAGACATGGCTGAGTGTGAAGTGCTTGCTTAGCATGTGTCATGCCTTGGGTTCAGTCACTAATACTACAAAAAATTAAAAGCGTTTAAAAATTGACTATTCTTGGTCATTTTATTTTCCAACTGAATTTTAGAAATAGGTAAAGTTCCTTAAAAAGGCATAGCGCCTGCTAGCCACCTTGTATTCTATTTACTCTGCTTTTCCCCTCTCTAATTTCCTTAAACTGATCTAGTTTTAATTGGTCAATTTTTTTCCTTTTACTTGTATTGTATTTTGATGGTGTTCATGGTTATATTTAGTATTTTAAACCATAATTTGACTTCTTTTTGCCATCAATCAATCATCTTGCCGAAAGTGAAGGGAACTCTCGTATACCATTAACAGGCCAATACCTCACATTTGTCCAAATCGGGATTCTGGTTCTGGCTTATTGCTAAAATTTATTTTTCATATCCTGTGTCAGTAATTATTTTTACACAGTGATAGATTCTATAGTTAGAATGTTTTCGGTCACTGCTTTTTTCCCTTATTCTGTATCTTCTTTCTTGAGCAGTTCTTTCAAAAGGGTTTGCTGATAGTAAGCTGATAGAATATATGCCTGTCTGAAAAAATTTCACACAGTATCCTCTAATTTAAAAGGTCATGTCCTTTGTCACATGATCTCCAGAAATGATGAAAAGACTTATGAGAAATTGTGTCCCACCCCTGTTGTTCCTTCTCAGGTATGATGTTTTTTCTCTGCCCTGGGAGCCATCAGGATGCTTTTGTTCTTATCAAAAAAGCCACAAGGATGCAGTCTCTTTGGTCTTCCATATTCATTTAGTCTGATGTTGGATGGGCCTTTTTGATTTGAAGGGTTATGATTTCTTTTTTACTTGGGAAAATCCTTTTCTATAATTTATTTCTTTTAATCATTTCTTTTTTTTTTTCCTTCCAGATCTCCTATTAGTTGAACTGATCCTTTTAACTTTTTCTTTCCCATTTTTCTTCTGTCTTTTCCTTTTCGAATGCAGTTCATTTACTTGACCCTCTTTCTTCCAGAACACCAAATCAATATTCAGCTATGTATACTCTACTCTGTGTTTACTAGATTCCTTCTGACTATTTTATTTTATTTTATTTATTTTATTTTTGTGGAACCGGGGATTGAACTCAATTCCTTGTGCTTGCCAAGGAAGCACTTATTCCACTGAGCCACCTCCCCAGCCCTGACATTATATTTTTAAAACTCCAAGAAGAGTTTAATATTTTTTTTCTAGTTATTTTTTTCTAGTTACTCTTTTGTATAGCAAGAAACACATTTTTCCTTTATGGATATAGTATACTCTTGAATCAGGTATTACTTTTAATATTTATTTATTTATTTATTTATTTGGAATTGGGGATTGAACTCAGGCCCTTGTGCTTGCCAGGCAAGCACTTATTCTACTGAGCTATCTCCCCAGCCACTACTTTTAATTTTTAGAGAAAACTTTTGTCTTTTTAAAATTATCTGCTTCCTAAAAAAGATAAAAAAATTTTTTAAAAATTATCTGCTTCCTTGATGTATGGCCAGTGGCTCTTTGGATTCACTGAACCTTTTCTCTCAAGTGGCAGCTTTACTGCAAAAGTCTGGTAATCCTAAACTGTACAATTACCTCTGTGACAAAGGACTAGGCTTAACACACACAGTAAGTTCTATTACCTATTAACTGTAAGATTTTAGGTAAATTTCTTAATCTTCTAGTACTTCAGTTAACTCACCTTCTGAATGGAGTAATAATAATACAGGAAGGGTTGTGAACTTAAGCAAACTGACAGGTATGTGGATTGCAAGTGTAGCACAGTGCTTAATGTGCCATGTGTACTTGATAATAGTAGTGACAATTTTTACTGTAGCATCCAATGTCCTTTTCTTGCAGAGGGTCCTTATATCACACTAAAGAGTCCTTCCCAGGTAAGCTGTTCTTTACAGAGCTATTCTGAGGCCTCACACTGAATGAGTCTTACTCTCTGCTGCTAGAGATGAGGCTGGGGAGCTGGAGGGTAGACATAGTTCTTTAATTCTCTCAGGAATATCTTGAAATCTCTAACTTTTCCTTTCACTCACTCTATGCTTGATATTCTACCAGATTTGTTCTTAACATTATGGTAATTTTCTCCCATGAGTGGTATGTCCTGCAATTTTTATTTTCTCTTTTAAGGTTTACCTGTCTCCGTTTGCTTTCTAACCATCAATAAACTCAAATTCTGGTCAGCTAATAGCATTCTTTCTTGTTATTTATTTATTTTTATTTTCATTCTCTTTTAAATAATTGATTTCTGCCTAGCGTATTTTTGGACAAAAAGAAGTGTGGTTGCAATTGTTCAGCCCTCTAACTTAAGACAAGTCATACTATTTTTCATACTACTTAAAGCATGAATACCTACTAACCATAAGGATAGATCTGCTTAAGCACTGCATTAATTTTGGAGAGATATATTTATATAGACTATATGTTTTCAGTCTCAAAAATTTAATCAAGAACTAAATCTGATAAGCATTTAAAGTGTAAAACTAAAAGGAGACATTAATGGTTATCAGGTATCCATAAAACTATATAACTATAGATAACAGTTCTTCTCTTCCTAAAAAACTGTAATAACCTAGAGTAAGTAGAATCACTTTATACTTATTTCTTTCTTTGAATAAGTAGAAGAGTACCTGAAAGTCCATGTTCTAAGGATTTATGAAGGCTTGTTATAAAATATGCTTTGATTACCCATAATTTTATATATTGATTTCTATAATGTATTTTGAGGAAAAATTTAGTATCAGCCATTCTTGCCTTTTTCTTTTTATTGAACTACCCATACTAATATAGCACATCACTAAGCAAAAAATTCTACTTACTATGCAAAAGGCATAGTCAGTGATTGGCACCTACGACCAATTGATCTAGCCATTACCACCATCTCCCTGCCCCCACCAGCACTACTATGAAGGTATTGATTTAAACACTGTCGATCGGTTTCCATTTTCTGATTTTGGGCAGGCCAATTAAGAAACTGAGTAATTGTGATTACACTGCTTCAGGATCAATTACATTTGATGCAAGACAAAGTGTTCTTTTTGGAAAACACACAAAAATATTTTAAATCTAGCATGTGCTTGTGCTTAATAAAACCAAAAATAAGTAAGTTATATTTTCAAAGTATAAAGACATTATGTTTATAATCGCTATATTTTATTTTTTGCTGACTACTATTTTAATGTGAATTAAATTTATCATTTTCCTATAGTTAAGAGAAATTGAGAAAAATAATTGCTCACATTCACTCCCCAACCTAAGATGAAAAATCAAACACTACCTGTATTTTTATCCCTTTAGTGACTTTGTCAATTATGGAAGAAAAAATGCAAACCCTGTTTAATGGACTAACAAAGAAGTCTTTATACTAAAAACAATGAAAAATAACAACTCATCTGATTATACAGAAACCAAAAAGTTCCTTTTATAAATTGGCAGGATAAAAAAATTTTAATTTTTAATTTTCATCTATGTTGGTATATGAGCTTTGTCATTGGACTCACATTGTCCAAATCATTAGCATGAATACACCTCTGGTGCTGGAGGAAAACTACTTAAGAGTGATGTTACTCACAGTGTGGTGTTCATACTACTGATTTGTAGTGTCTGTCTAATAGAAAAATAATAAACAATTCCTAGGCCATGCAGGGAAAGCAATCAGTTTCTATCTATCACTGATAGAGCAGACCTCCCAAAACATAAAGGTGACGATCTGCATAAAATCAATGTGCCATCCTACACTGCTTGGATCCATTGCTGCAGGTTTTCAGCAATAACAGTTGTAAGATTAAGCTTCAGTCACAGCAAACTGAAAAGGTATGTGAAAATGAAGGGCTCACTATTTAATCTATTAATTTATTTTAACATTTCTCTTTCCTAAGCTTGGAGATTTTTAATCATAACAAATTCTGCCCCAAGTTTGTTAACATTCAGATAAATGAAAATCTCAGATCTTTTCAGAGTAAAAACAAAGCAACTTCAACTCAAAATAGCAAATGTCTTTCTATATCAGAAAAACACAAAAAGATGGAATTCAAAGACAATTCTCAAAAGATACATGAAAATAACAGCTCTGTACTTTGCTAGAATCATTAGAAGTATATATTATATGACAAAAGTAACAAAAAATTAATCCTAAAAAATCCTTATGAATATTGAGTCATAAAACCTTTACCAACTACATAAATGCTCTTGCAGCATTTATATAACGTAGCTTGTAAGCTCACATAAAAACAGAAAAGCATATATGTTTAGAATCAATAATGCTGTATGAGAAAAAGCTTCAAGGTATCTCAACATGACATAGTGTCTCAAAAGGTATCTTCTTCTTTTTTTTTTTTTTTTTTTTTTTTTTTTTTTTTTTTTTTTTTGCGGAACTGGGGATTGAACTCAGACCCTTGTGCTTGCCAGGCAAGCACTTATTCTACTGAGCCATCTCCCCAGCCCAGATACCAAAAGGTATCTTCTTCGGGCTATTCAATGATGTAAAATTTTAACTTCACCCAAATTACCCAAATCTATAATAATAAAATAGGTAAAGAATTAGCCGGCAGCAGCTTATTTCTTTAACAAATCACAAATTTCAATTAATATGACAGAGAAAAGAAATACTGAAAATACCCACATCACACATAATTCATACAACTATTCTGTGGCATTCTAAATACTGTTGAAGGAAAACACTTTAGTTTAAATATCATGCCTCACAGAAAAAGGCTGTTACAAGCTTAGTTTTTGTTCTTCCATACCTTACAGGTAATATAAAAAAACAAAAGAACTGAACTTACCACAACTGGAAAGTGGCAGTCTGTGTAGAATCACAGAAGTCAATACCCATTGAAACAGTAATGGATCCCTCAGGCTCAAGAGAATCTAGGAAATAAGATAATTTAGACATGAAATCACACAGGATGTGAAAAAGGCAAACAGTACTGCACGTTCATTTAATGTTTGTGTTTGGTTAAAACAGACTAATTTAATGAAAAAATTTAAACTAAGACTACACTTCCCTATTTGGCTCAAAGATTTTCATTTTTCCCAAATTCTGCATGTACTCCAATGAACATATTAGATTATTTCAAAAACACACCTCTTCTTGCAAACTTTTATATTTTATCATACTGTCTTTATAGGCATTGAAAGTGAGAAGGAAATAAATGGGTCTTTCTTTGGCATACTTGCAATGGACTTTTGGAACTTATACAAGATTATTACTCAAGGGCCAGGATTCGATGCCCTGGCCTGCTTGCTGGCTCGCACCTGTAATCCCAGCTCTTGGGAGGCTGGAAACAGGTGGATCACTGTGAGTTTGATCTAGTAGAGAGACCCTGAACACCCTGTTGATCCTTCCCCACCACACAAAAATATTTACTCAAAACTGTTTATAGTCTCAACAGAAGAAGTAAATTTCTAAATAATGTTCCAAATTTTCAATGGAAAATTTCTAAAACTTAAAAATTCAAAGCAAAATAAGAAATTAAAATGTATTCAAAAATTAACCAAGATAATAGGCATTCCTAAAATAAATTTATCTGCATCATTCTAGACATTATCTTCAGACAATTTAGGGGCAGATATGATTATCTTGACAAAGATTTGTAATTTCTCAAGCTTCAACTATCAGCTAATCAAGTATGAGAAATAATCATACCAACATACAATACTGTTTTTCTTCAGTTGACAACAATAAAGCCTAACAAAATTTTATCCTGTTTGTGATTCCAAAGTTTGGCTACACATTAGAATAGCTGATGGTATTTATATAATATATGTATATACATAGAAACCATTCACTTCTGACTTCCACTTCGTTCTAAGTCTTTACTACAACTGCAGCTATACCATACAATAGCTTCATATTTAGCTTTATCTATACTGTATTATACATCTTGTGAGATTTAGTTACTTTTCAGCAAGCACACTTCTAACTCAGCTAACTGTGACTATCCTAGGGCTAGTTGGTAACTCTGATTTACATGAACATGAACAGAGATGATGTATGGATGGGACAAAAAATTAACTCACAAGCCTGACATGGTGGGAGCTATGTGTGTATTCATAGGCCCCATACAATTAGGCATTAGAAGAGGATCTGTTTGATGTCAATTTTGAAATGCCATTGGTTTGCTCAGTGGTATTTATGTTGCTTACTAATTTTTTTTTCATTTTACGTATTTGGTACAGGGTCTCACTATGCAGCTTGGACTCATAGTGATCCTGTTTTCAGCCTCCTCAGCGCTGGGATTACAAGTGTGTGCCACCATGCCTGGTCTTGGTTGCTGGCTCAGCATGCGGACTGGGAATCAAACCCTGGCCCCTGCACTTGCCAAAGCAGGCACTTAATTTGTTGAGCTATCTTGTTGGCCTGCTGATTCTATTTTTTTTTTTTTTTTTGCAACGCTGGAGATTGAACCCAGAGCTTTCACATTGAGCTACGTCCCCAGCCTTTTTCTTTTCTTTTTTTTTTTTTTTTTTTTTTTACTGTATGTAGTACAGGGTCTACAGGGTCTCACTATACAGATTGGACTTTAGTGATCTTCCTGTTTTGCAGTTTCCCAAGTGCTGGGATTACATGCCTTCACCACCATGTCCAGTCTCAACTGCCTTCTCAGCATGCCCCAAGGACAGGGCCAGGGCCAGTATGACAGGCAGGGGATCGAACCCTGGTCTCTGCATCTGCCTAAACAGGTGCTTTAATCCACTAAGCTATCTGGCCAGCCCTTAATTCTATTTTTAATTTATTTATAATTAACAAATTTTACATGTTTGTTAAGTGTTATAAATCTAACATCTCCTACTTTGCTACTGAAGTATCATAAGCCTTGGCTATTTAAATTTTGGTTAAGCAGGCTTTTCTATAGGGTAAATAACTTATTTGTATATGCAACTATATATCTGAAGAGACATACATGTGCATTTATTCCTCCAAAGCTACATGTTATCAGTTCATAGCTCTGTCCATTGGACGGTTCAAGTAGGTTTTTTTTTTTTTTTTTTTTTTTTCACAATGCAGATGAAACCCGAGGCCTCACTGTGCTAAGCAAATGCTCTACTTCTGAGATATTTCTCCAGTTCTATTTTATTTTTAATTAAACCCAAGACCCCTGTGCTAACTTATGTCCTCAGTTGTATTTATACATTTTAAAATTTCAAAACAGGGTTTTGCTAAGTTGCTCCGGAAGACGCTGAACTTGTGATCCTCCTGCATCAGCCTTGGGCCTAGCTGGGACTACAGCATGCAGGACAATGCCTGGTCCTAAAGCTATTCTTCAGTGCATCCTTATCATCTTGTTCTGTGCTGTAAACACATGAACCTTTGTTCTTATTTGTATCTGACACCATTTTGGTGGCAAACATTATTATCACTAAGACATAACAGCATTCATGATTTTGATCCTTCTACATCATGTGTTTCACTGACAAAGTGACAGCTCTCAAAATGCCCTGTTGATTGCACTCTCAGACATGGTTTAATATTGTCTTCAGTCTTCAGATAAATGTAAGCTAATTCTAGGGGACAGTTCATGATCAATGGTTTGTTTTATTACATGAACATTTCAAGAGCAAAATGATCAGCATAAAATTATTCATATAATGCATTTTTGCAGTATTTGGAGCCTACTGAAATGGGAAGGCTTACCAAATTAGAAGATTATATTTAGATATTGTTCTGGATTTGCTTCTATGTACCTGAGGTGACTAATAGAAATGGCTGAAAAACATTTGGCTTTATTATACCACACTATTGACAATGAAAAATGAAATCACACAGGTTGTCATTGACTTTGATGTGACAGCTATACTCGTACAGTGACTAGTAAAATCTCAGCTAACTCACAAGTTTTAGGTGTTAACACAAAGTCACTGAAATGCTTGGTCTCTTTGGAAAAAACTGGCCCATTCTCCTTAACACCCTTGCAACAATCCAGTTTCCTGCTAAAGACAGGGCAACATTCAGACAAAAGTAACTGAGTAACTGTGTATTATAGACAAAGAGAAAACAGATTGGTGACAAGCAAGAAAACTGCTGGCCCTCTCAACATATGAATACAAGGTTAATGTGCCTCCTTATTTCATAACACATGAACAGTATCTGGACCGTTGTTGCATCCTTACAGTGTTTCTGACATATGATACTCTGCAACTCTAGTGTAATCTATTGGCAACAGAGTTGAGATAGTGTTACATACAAATACATACTGCATGCAATGAGTTCTCTCTTAAAGGAATTCAGTAATTGGGAGAAAATGGATGAAACATTACATTCACAAAAATGTGCCTGAAAATGGAAAAGGAACGCCTATAACTAGTACTGAGGCAATGGTATATATTCACATTTTATTGCTGCTAAGGTCATACTATGAAATTTATTATATTTATTTCTTCTACTCTACATAGGCCAACAAAAGGTCAACTCATCAACTTATAATGCCAGTCCAAGGAAACATTAATACAGTTCTACCGTTTTAACCTTTGGATAACATTTCCAACCTCGAGACAATTCATAAATCGGCTGCTTGACACTTTTTAAACTAAATTAATTTTTTTAACTAGGTAAAAAAGGCTAAATTACAAGCAATAAAAAAGACCCAGATTGGGATATTCTGTAATTCCCTGGCAATATATTAAATTCACACAATAATTCAACAAAAATCAGGATACTCTAGTCTTTAAATTGTCTTCTTTATGAAAATATTTTAAAAATGGAATTAAGTAGTTTCTGAAATCAACTCATTTTAACTCTACTTTGGTTGCTTATAAAAGTCTACTGGGTTTATCCACCAGGAGTTGTTTTATTCCTTTGTGGAAAATATAACAAAGAATGACTTCTTTTACTAAATGACTCATGTCATGAACTATAGAAAAGAACTTAGCAATGCCAGAACTCAGGTGAAGAAAAATGGAAGTTATACAAAATCATGAAGCCACAATTCTCAAATTTCAGTTCCTTCTTTTTTTTTTTTTTTTCCTTCTTAATGTAATGGTGGAAAAATCATTGTGGATAAATACAGTAATAGATTACAAGTTATGGAAAGAAAGACAAGCAGACTAGTACACAACTCCTCAGTCTTCACTAAACCCTTTTCAATGAAATGTGAAAGGAAATGGGCAAAGAACCTCCAGATATTGGAGATATTGTATTCAAAAAGACAGATTTTCTTCCTTTGATTACACAATAAGTCACCAAAAATTATGCAGGGAATAAAAGTGACCAGGAGGAAGGCAGAGGAAGGTAATGCAGATAGGAAAAACAGGATGATGATTTTGATTCCACAGATCCCATCTTCTCATCATTTCTGGTACAACGACTGCTGGAACCTGACTCAGGGCGAAAAAATACAGTTCTTTTGCACAATAAAAGCAGTTTAAAATGGGAAATATAGGTTAGTGGTAGAGTTCTTGGGTAATATGCACGAGATCCTGGTTTTGATGCCTGGTCCTGCTAAAAAAACAAGTATGTTGAGTATGCTAACACAATTAAAAAAGTACCTAAGTTAAAAATGAAAATAAAAAAATAATGAAAATAAAAATGAAAATAGTTATCAAATATAAACTTTTAAATGATAATTAATATTTACCTATTGGGTTAAAAGTATGCATCTGCATGCCCACTGGAAGTTTTTTTTCCCCTATGTGGATGTTTTCAATCTTCCGGTCAGAGGTGTTGTTCAATGTAATCTGTACAGAGACCATCTTCTCACCGAAAATGCAAGGCTGTCTTGGAAAGAAATAATGGGCAGCCAGTCCTTTTCCACTCATCCGATGAAGCAGCACGTGTGTTTTCATTGGTACAAAGACAGGTGTACTGACCTATAGTGCATGGGAAAAGACATGAATTACTGGACCCAGAAAATAACCCCTTTTAACTTTCTGTTTTCTTAAAGCCACAATAAACCACACTGCATTGATAAACCACAATAACTTAGCAGGATACTACACACAGATACGTAAAGAAAATGCTTTCAACACAGTACTAAACTTTTTCTGTACTCTAAAGGCATATATTAAAATATTTTGATTTTATATAAGAAAGTAATCTCTGTTATATACTAATAGTCTATAAGCTGTTCTGTTAATTTTTTCCCCTAGATATTCTCTATATGGCCATCCTGCTAAATTTTTTAATTAACGTCAGTTAGTTTCCTTAGACATTTTAACTCTAAGATAATATTACTTCCCAATAATGAACATCCAATGCTGGATGGGTTTTCACCATGAATTTCCTTCACTGGAAAATGAAGACCATCACCTCTCATATAAGGTGTATCCTTTCTTAACAATAAGATTTTATTATGAGAACATGTAACTATTTTTCTTACATTTTCTGAATCTTGATCTTTAATAGTTTCAAATTTTTAACTCATGTAGCATTAATTTACAGTTATCAACCCTGCACTTAATTATTTTTCTACAAATTACTAGACAACTGCCCAATGTGATATAATAAATAGATTTTCATCAATGATTTATATATGTAAACCTTTTATTTATGCCCTCTGATATATTTATGGGCATTCACTGCTATGTTAAACTCACTAGATTTTATTTATTTTTTTCTGGCTGGCTCAGAATGCCTTCAGGGCAGGTTTGGCTGGCTTGAGTTCTGGGAATCAAACCACAGCAACCTGAGGCTGACTGCTTTGTTGAAGCAGCCACTTAAAGAACTGAGCTAAGGGGCAGGCCCCCTAGATTTTATTTCTTATAGTTTTACGGTGAATTCAATCATTTAGCATAACAAACCTTATCATTTCCCCATCCCTCAATATTTTCCTCAATAATGGTCTCTTTGCGCTGCCACTGAACGTTATCCTTTTAAAGTCTTCTCTCAGTGTAATTTCTACTGGAATCATACGTAGCATATTAAATGAGGAAATGCTGTCCACTTTAAAATTATATGGTAACTACCTGGCCATCCAAATAAGTTTTACATACAGGCTTGCTGCTTAACACCTAATGATGTTAAAAGTTTAGCAATAATGTTAATAATTTAAAAATGCATTCAATCACTGGCACCAAGTCATGCTGGCCCCACCCCTGGGGCATGCTGAGATGAGCAACTGAGACTGAGCATGGTGGTATGCGCCTGTAATCCCAGTGCTTGGGAGGCTGAAAACAGGAGAATCACTATCAGTTCAATCTGTGCAGTGAGACCCTGTAGACACTGTACTAAAATTTAAAAAAAGCAACAAAAACCTAAGTTAAATTATATATAAATATATAATCATACTGTATAAGCATCATTAAAATAGTATTTTCAAACATCTCAATTTATCATTGTGAGCAATTCAAAATAATCATTATAAAATGTTTAAGAATTTATCTGCAAAAAGTAGTAAGTAATTGCCTAAAATTTAAACTTTGGTTATATGAAGAAATGAGCAACTAGCCAATTTATCCTACTTTAGCTTTTCTGTTTTTGAGACAATGTCTCACTATGTAGTGCAGGGTAGTGTTCAACTCATTATGCAGCCCAGGCTGGCCTCGAACGTACAATGATCCTCCTGCCTCAGCTTCCAAGTGCTGGGATCACAGGTGTGTACCACCACACTTGGTTCTACTTTAGCTTTCTAATGTTATAAACAGTTTAACCTTTGTGTGTGTGTGTGTGTGTGTGTGTGTGTGTGTGTGTGTGCACACATACACGTTGGGGATCAAATGCAAGTCATGTGTGTGAGGCTAATGCTCAACCACAGGGCCACAGCCACAGCCAACAGTCTAACACTATGATTTCAAAGCACTTTCACTTTTAATCTAAGTTTCTTCTCTTTGAATAAAAATTGCTTTCAAAACTTCTGCTTTACACTGGGGAGGCTGGGACAGAAGGATCACTACTAGTCCAAGCTGCGTAGCAAGACCCTGTACTAAATGAATAAATAAAAGATAAACAAAATAAAACAAGACAAAACAAAAACTTCTGCTTCAGTGCTCAGGAACTAAACTGAGCTACCACTATAAATTCGAGTATTTATAATTATACTCACGAATCATTAGAACAGCAATCCTCAGCAGTGAATGTTCACACAAAGATACACAAGGCATGGAGACAGATATAGTGTTAGTGTGTGTGTGTGTATGCATGTACTGAGATTTTATATTTATAAATTTACTCTTAGCCCCTGTCCCACTTTTTGGTAACAGAAGCTATAACAGTCAACCTTAAACACAAATCCTTGGCTGGCTAATTAATTTTTCTAGCACTGCATGTTGATTTTCTTAATTAGATGATAAATATACTGAAGATCCTGTTCGGTCCTCACATTTTTTCTAGACTGTTTCTAAGATGAAGTTGCCATTAAAAATTAAACAGATGCTGATATAGATTTTTACTTTTGTGGAAACTATAGGGGTAACCTACTTTCTGGGTCCCTTTCTGTGCCTCACCCCCAGAGAGAAGCTTGCTCTCTATAAATTCGTTCTACTCTCAACCTCTACTGTTCCTAGAATTCATTCCTCAATTTTAGAAAACATGAACTCAGTGTTTGGACACCTAGTAGATTGGTAGTTTTACTTCCCCTATAGTATCTGGAGGTCTTCCACCAAAATAATTGGATGGAGATAATATTGTTAACTTGCTTAGGTAATCAAAAAATGTATTTATAATTAATTTTATTGCTAAAGAAATAGCAATGAGAGCTTCAAAACAGGTTAGTAGGACAGTTACAATAATTATGTAATCAAAATGTTTATGTTACATTTTTGCCCACTGCTTATAATTGTTTATGCTGTCTCTTACATAATTTTATTAAAATGATAAGTTTAAGTTAAAAACATGAACTATGTTATGGTGGTTTTTTTTTTTTTTTTTTTTTTTTTTCAGACCTGGGGATTGAACTCAGGCCCCTGCGCTTGCCAGAAAAGCGCTTATTCCACTGAGCCATCTCCCTGGCTGTTTTGTGTATGTTGCTTAATGACTTGCTCCCCAATTTGATTCCCATTTAATCAGTATTACCCAAAGGACTATACTTGTTATAACCTTACTGGTTCACCAGTCTTGTCCCACCTTATACACACCTTATAATTTCCCACTGGATCAATATCACCTAAGCATCTATACTTATAATTTATTGATTATAGTTCTGTCCCATCTCTTCATGGCTTTGCTCAATAAACATACCTGAGCAGCAGGATTGGTGGGCAACCCACTTTCTGAGCCCCCTCCTGCACCTCTTCCATAGAAGCGTGTTTTCCTCTCAATAAATTCTTCCTACTCTTAAAAAGAAAAAGAAACTACAAAAGGTTGGGTTACATATAATATGGGGAAACAAAGCCAAACTGTAACAGAAAAGCAAAGGTGACTGAAGGCTGAAGAGATATATGGACTGGGAGGCCTGTGTGTCATAGGCTAGGTCCTCTGCTTGTAGGACTGGAAGCTGGTGGATGTTTTTCAGAGGCGGAGGTTTTAGGTTGCTGGGCACATGCCCTTGAAAAGCCTGTGGGATGCTGGTTTCCTCTTGTTTTTAGGTTCTGGCCACAGCGAGGTGCATAACCTGTTCAGCCAGTCACTGCTTACAGCACTAAGATTTCTCTTCTCAGACCCAAAGGAAAGGGCTCAACCATGGATGGCAGCCACCAAATCTGGTGCCAGAATAGTCCTTCCTTTTCTTAAATTGACTTGTCACAGGTATTTGTTATCGTCACAGAAAGCTGACTAATGCAAACAGTATAAACAAAGCAGAGGGAAAGCAGGGATGTGGTTTACAATACCCAGACATTAGCAATCTAAACATCATCTAAGGTGCTTCAAAAGTATGCTTGTAGTCACTTCAGCTACAACACAGATTGGACAATTTATTGATTTTCTTGATCTCACTGTAGACACATGGTTCAAACATTTATTTTCCTTTATACTTAGTCTTAAAATTTTGGAGCTTTATTATAACTGTTCAGAAAAGATGTTAAGAATGTATAAAGGGGAAAAATAAAATTCCCTTCATTTCTTTCAGATTCAACTAAGTTCAAGGTAAGAAGCATTCTCTAATGAATTCCACATCTAAGAAAGGCCCTGACAATCCTAAAGGTTATCTGTACTAACACTAGGTCTATATAAGAATGATACTTCAGTTCACAAATTCCTTCTATGATTCTGGTCACAAACTGAATCAAATATAATGGTTAAGTTCAAGGCTGACCTTATGAGGAAATGTGATTTGGTTCTCATCCAGTTTGATTTGGAACCAGAATCATGGAAATAATTAAGTTTGTAAACTGAGTACCACTGTACTCTTCTATAATAAATAGCATCATAAATAGGATGCTATGATAATAATATGTACTGGTTAAGCACTCTTAATCTGCAAATCCAAAATGCTCTAAAATATGGATACTTTTTGAGTGCTGATATGATGTAGTCTACATTATAGATTAGAATTGCTCAACTGGTAAAAGTCATATAGATACTCCAAAAACCTGAAAAACTCGAAAATCTGAAACTTTCTAGTCACAAACATTTCAGATAAAGGACACTCAATTTGTACATGTTTAATTTTAAAAAGGGTGAACAATGTGAAAGTGTTTGCTAAGCTCACAAGTCATCTTAAGTATTTAGATAACCATAAGTGATTTTTATTTTTGTTCAATAAAACCACTGGCCTCCAAAAGCTCTTCAGCAATTTCTCTATATAATACATTTAAACCTGACAGAAAACCACTATTTTGTACATCAGATTAGATACCCATACTCCAGAAAAAAAATTAAAATTACACACACACACACACACACACACACACACACACACACACACAATCTAAAACACTTTATCATCTACTAGGACTCACCACTCAGTTCTCAATAGAGATGGCATATACTCACT